TGCCTTTGTCGGACTCCGGAGGCCGTTTTTCGGGCGCCGTCGACGACGACGACGACGATTCGAGTACAAGCGCAAAGCCCGCAAGCACCAGCATCGCGCATGCGAGCGCCGCAATGGCCTGCGAGCGCCCACAGTGCGCCTGCGACCACCACACCACAGTGCGCATGCCTTCGGGCACCAGCATGTTGGAGGGGAAGACCGAGACCCCCCCCGCGCACGAGCGGCACCGTTACGGGGGGGGGGGGGGGGGAGAGGCCCGGGTAACGAGCGTTACCCCCCAGAGGATAAAAAAAACAATCTCAAGACGTTGCTTCTCTTTGGCCCGGGCAATGATCAGCAGAGTCCTGACCGCTCCCACGATCGCCTTCGCCGCCCTCTCGGCCGCTCCGTTCGCCCAGCGCCCCCCGGACGGGCCCTCTCGAAGCGGCGGCTCTTTTCCTTCAATCCTGCCGCAGACGTCTCTCTCGAGCGCTAGGGGCGAGCTCTCGCCGTCGGACTGGTGCGCGCACCTCTTGCGGCCGATGTGGTCGAGGATGTCGACCGCGACGCTGGGGCTGAACCTGTCCTTCACCATGGCCGGGGCCGAGCTCGCGCCGTAGCAGCCCGCAATGATGCGGCCGTTGTCGGCGACGACCTCAGAGGGCCCCCCCTCGGCCGGCTGGCGCCCGCGACGCGATTGGCCAGTCCCGCGCGCTGCGCAACGCGAAGGGCGCCAGGGCCTGAAGTGGACGTGGCCCTGCGCCTCGCGCTCCTCAATCTCGATGCCAGGAGGCTGGCCTGGGCCCGGGGGCAGCCTCGCTCGCGGCGGTCTGCCGCGCTGCTCTCGCGCTTCCTCCTCTTGGGGTAGCGGGCCTCCTCGCTGATCCTCGGGGGCTCTCGCGCCTCCTGCCAGCCGCCCAGAAACTGGCGGCGTGCTCGGACATGCGGGGACGCCGGCCGGCTTCCCCCCGACGTCGGGGAGGCGGGTGACCGGGCTGCCGAAGCAAGTCCAGCCCGACCTCGAGGAAGCAGATCGGCCTCCGATCGCCGATGGGAAAGCCCCGACTCGCGACAGCGACTCGAACTCCTGAGCCCTGGCCTTCGGCAGCGTGAAGAAGGCGTTGTGCACTCCGCGCTCATGGCGCAACCGGATGCCGTTCTCCAATCTCCAGCCCTCCTTTCCGCTTCAAAACGGCGACCAGCCTCGTGATTGCCCTCCCCGTCGTAGACCTCTCGTCGATCACCGTGCAGCTGCTCTCGTCGAGGACCCCGATGTTCTTCTCGGGCTCGCGCTGGCCGCGACGACGGGCTTGGCGACGGCAGCTCTGCGCCCGGCAAAGGACATCCTGGCGCCGTTCTCGTCGACGCCCACCATCCCCCCGCCGCCCTCGTCTGCGATGATGTTCCCACTCGCCGTCTTGAATCTGCGGCCCGAGGATGCCGAGGTTGCTGGGGCCGCCCCGAGGGGCCACCGAGCTCGCGCACCCACAATGGAAGTCGACCTTCACCCAGCCTTTCCAGCCCACGATCTCTCCGCTAGTCTCCTGGGCTTTCTCCGCCTGATCAGCTCCGAGCAGCTCCAAGAACGCGTGGTTCTCTGGCCCCCAACCGCCACGGGCTTCCTGCGCGGTGCCCCCCGCGCCTAGCGAGAGCCAGCGCCGCGCTTGCCGCCGTCGCCCTTCTGCCTCGCCTCACCCTCGGCCTGGGCCTCGGCCATCGCACGGGCGGCCACCTCTGCCGGAGCCTGCGGCCCCCGGCAGTCCGAGCTCATGTGCCCCGAGCGCCCGCAGTTCCAGCGGGCGAGGCGGGGCGCGTCAGCTCCGTCGCCAGCGCCTGGGCCTCGACTGATCTTCTGAGCCTTCTTACATGTATCGCCCCTGCCTTTGCCGCCGGAAGCCTTGCCCTCTTTCGTGCCCTCGCCGACCTTGCCGTTCTGGAACGCGCGCGCCAGGGCGCCGATGTCCATGGCATTGGGGTCGCGCTGCTGCATGGAGAGCACCTGGGCGCCTCGAAGTGCGGCGCCTGTCCGAGCCTCCAGGTGCGGCGCAATCTTTCTCCAAAGCAACTCGCAGGTTTTCAGGCTGCTCTGGCTACGAAGAACGTGTTCTTCAAGCTCAGACGGCAATGCGCTCTCCAGGGCCGACATGCGCACGCTGTCTGAGAGGCGATTAGGGTTGTCGTCGTCATCCTCACGAACTCGCAGAGGTTGACTGCCCCTCGCCATCTTTCTTGCGCCCCCGCCAACCCCTCGAGCTTTCAGCGCCCGGGAGACAGCGCCAGGCCAGTTTCAGCACGTCCCACTTGCGCCCGCTAGTGGAGGAATCGAACCTCCGAGCCAGGCGTCTCCAGCACTCGAGTCCGCTGCCCTTCTCTACGTTCAGGGTGATGTCGAACGGCTCACCGGTCGCCAACTGCTGAATCGCCGTCCGTGTGCAGTTGAGCCACCATCTCATCGATGCGATCTAACTCATCGTCGCCGTTGGCACCAAACGCCGATTGCCAGTGTCCTCCCTCAATCGGGTCCGGGCGAGCGCTGCTCCACTCCAGCATTGCTCTGAAACTCCGACCACGAATGACCCGAATTTGGCAGCCCACTCTATGTACTGCCGAAGGTTGGCCGATATCATTCGTGTCGACCAGCTTCTGGAACTAGCAAAGGTCTCTCCACCATACGGTTGACCGCCCCCACCAGGGCAGGGATTGCTTGGATGCCCACCAGCTGATCAAACCGAAAACTCATGTTCTCTTCGCTGAACCTCTCCACCCCTTGTGTCAGGGCCTGCCGTTGTCGGGTCAGCTCCTCATTCGTTGTGCTCGCCTAGGGCTGGGCGAGCTTAGCGCCAGTTTCCCTGTGAATCTGTCCGCGTCGTTTCTAGATGAATTGAAGACACTAGCCTTTCCCTCACCGGGTCACCTCCAAACGGGCGTACCTTCTGAGGTACGTGTACATCTCTTCCCACAGTGCGATATTGGCGTCCTCTGTCACAAGAGGCACGTACTCGAAACAACTCCTGGTGTCGTCCTCGGGGGATCCAACCAGGCTCCGCGCTACCATGAATAGGGAAACTGCCCGAAGATATCTCCAATCCGCATCAGGCCGAAACGACACTCAGCCGAAACGGCTTCACAGAATCAGTGCACCATGCAAAAACAAACTCTCGACGGCGCATACTTTCTGCACCCTGGTGGGCGTGATCAAACAATGGTTCAGCCCCGAAGGGGGACATCAATTGTTGACCACATGCTGATGCTAAAGCTGGTGTGGGGGCAAAGTATGAAAAACCGCTTCCAAACATGGCCTGTAAGACGACCCCGAGACATCTCCAAGACTGACATCATGGCTCCAAGAAAACCCAACTGCCTCCGAGACGGCACAAGATGGCCTCAACACGGCCCAAGAGGAGGCTCGCTCAAAGCCCCAAGAATGCTCCAAGAGAACCTTCATGATGCCACGATTAGCGTCAGTTCTGTTTGTGTTCGATTGTAGTCGCATTCTCGTTTCTTCGGGATTCCGAGATTCCGACAGCCCCAGGCGGCCCAGGAGGCTCCCAAAAGTTTCCCACCGGCCCCAAGACGAACGGCACAATATGGCCCCAATGCGGCCCAACGACAATCCCAAAGCGGCCACAAAGAACCTCCAAACGGCCCCTAAAACCTCCAAGAAGTCTCCAAGACGGTCCAGACAAGCACCCGAGACGATCTCCGGAGAGGCCAGAAGGCCTGGGAGCATCCTAAAACTGCCCAAGAGTGCCCCAAGATGGTCCAGGAGAGCCTCAAGAGGCCATCAAGAAGGCCCGAATTGCCCAAGATGACTCTAGAGGACCCCTCCCCACTGTTGCTGTCCAGTGGTTTCCCGAAGTGTTGGGGACCACGAAGTCCACTAGCATGGCTGCACCTTCGCTCAGAATTTCACCACACATTCGCTTCCAAAAGGCAGAGGGGGCGGCGGCGATTCGCAACAGGCGTCTTAGATAATCGGCTTAGCAACAACAACGCTCGATACCACTGCCCACCTTCCTCACACGCACTGACTGCTGGAACACAACTTGTGTATGGCTCCGCGGCGAAAGCCCACATCTCGCTGAGCAGCGACAGTACTTGCTGCCACAAGCCACCTGTTGTGGACGCGCTGACCCCAGCACTGAAGCTGCAGACGTCCAACTCTAAACCTGTCTCACGCAATTCGCTGAATAACAGCAATGCTCGTTGCCACTGCTCGCACGTTGCGCACGAAATGATTCCAACATTGTAGGTTACAGCGTCTGGTTCCAATCGGACCCTCTGTAACTCGTCAAACATCAACAAGGTCTGCTGCCACTGTGCAGCTCTCTCGCACGCGCTAGCTGCAGCGTTGTAGCTGCTAAGACAGAACGGTGTACTACGTCTACAGCATGCGGCACGATCTGGTCATAATTCCACCGGTGGCCACGAAAAGCTTACTCGCATGCAAGGGTGAAGTTCGCTTGTGTTTGCCACTTCCTGTCTGCAATGCTGCCAGCGACGTTGCTGGCCGGGTGGTCTACAACTCGTGGCCTGATCACCTGATTTCTGTGTTGTTTGCTTCGTTCCTTGCTCGTCCGCTCGCTGCCGCTTGCCGCCGCTTGCTACGTGGAACCGTCTTGAGGTCATCGTGTAATGGAGCGTTGCGCTACAAACCCCCTCCCATCCCCCCCCCGCAGGGCTGCCCGCTATTCTTCGCCTCATGTCGACGCACGTGGATCCAGCGATCTTTATCCACCCAAGCATGTATTATGCTTCGCCCAAGGAAGATGAATAATTCTTGAACTTGCATTCTGTGGGCCGACTTCGGGGCGCGTCGGGCCACTCCGAGGTCGTGAGAGGCCCTGCGGGTGCGGAAGGTGCCAGGGGCCAGGAGAAACGAGCGAGCAAGGATCAAGAATAGAGGAGCGTCGAGCAGTGGGCGAGGGAGCGAGGAGAGAGGGTTCGAGAACGACGAGCACACGAATCTCCCAATGGCCTCGACGCGCGAGTGGCCAAACACTTAAACATTTGGATTCATCTTAGATCGCTTGCTCGCCCTTCTCGCACGCGCTGATCCCAACACTGTAGCTGATGGTGCATTTGCTAACTTTTGCCAGGTGGTGGATGCTGCCGCCTGCCTGCTGCTGCTTGCTGCAGGATGCTGATTGACATTGGTGATGTCAACGCGTGCTGCTGCTGCTGCTGCTGCTGCATTTGCTGTTCGCGTTGCTTATGTTCCCTGCTGCTAGATCCTCCTCCTCTTTCTCCGTCCCTCCACCTTTCTCACCTTTCTTCCCCTCGATGTTCCATCGTGCCAACCGTCGTTTCTACGACGACGCTTCCAAGAGCACAAACATCCAGGGCCTCTGAGGGCTTCTGTTTGCCTCTTGAGGGTCTCTTTGGCTGTCCTGGCGCTGTCTCGGGCGCCTCTCGGTCAGTCTGTGGGCCGTCATGGGCCCCTTGGGTCGCTCATCGGGCTCTCTTGGGTTCTTTTGGGCCGTCTTGGGACCAGCTTGGGGCGTCTTGGGGCCGTCTTTGAAGCCCTCTGGGGTGTCATGGGGCAATCTTCGAGGGTTGCAAAGTGTCGAGGGCTGACCCGTAGGCTCTGCCCACGAAAGCAAGAATGACAACGTGTGTCTGCTGTCGCTTGTTGCGCTCGCTGGGATGCTTGCTGCCGTTTCATTGCCAATGCGCGCGTGACTTGTCTACCCTGCACCGTCTTGCCGTTTGCGTGATGCTTGCCTGATGCCTGCTTGCAGGTCCTGCGAGTTGCTCCTGTTTGCCAGGGCCCTCGGAGCGTGGAGAACAACTCCTTCGGGCGTGCGATGAGCCTCTCGCCTCTCGTCCGCTGCCCGTGTCTTGAGAGCAACTTTGGAACCTCTCCTGGTGGCCTCCTGGAGGCCGTTCAGGGGCCCCTTGGCGGTCTTTCCGGCTTCCTGGAACCCTCTGGGGCCGCCTCGGGCGCCTCGTGGGCCGTCTTTGGGCTGTCTCGGGTGGCTCTCGGGCTGTCTTAGGGCATCTTGGGCCATCTTGGGCGCCTCCTGGGCCATCTTGGAGCCCTCCTGGGTGGTTGTGGGGCCTTTTCCGGATTCTATTGGACGGCCTTGGAACGTTCGTGAAGCCACAGCAGCCGTCTTGGGCCGGTCTTGGGGAGCTCTCCGTGAGCCCTCTTGGGCGGCTCTTGGGCCCTTGGGGCCCGTCTGGGGGCTCTCTCGCGCCGTCTTGGGTCACTCTTGGGCCGTTTTGGGCTCATCCGGGAGCCGTCTTGGAGCACTCCCGAGCTGTTTTGGGGCCTTGCCGGAACATCTTGAGCCTTGGCGCATTCGTGGGGGCTGTGGGAGCCGTCTTGGGTCGCTCTGAACTGAAAGTCGCGAGAACCTGACAATCAGGCAAAAACCGTGGAACAACAACTGAATGTTGGCCGCCGCGAGCCGTCGGGACGGGCTCCGGGGCCGTCCTGGAGCCATGTTGGTGCTCTTGGGCTGTCTCGGAGCTCTCCGTGAGCCCTCTTGAGCGGTTCTCCGGGCCCGTTTACGGGCTCCTGGGGGCTCTCTCGGGCCGTCTTGAGGCTCTCTCTGGCTTCTCCGGGGGCGGTTTTGGAGCTCAAGCCCTCACTGGAGCTCTTGGGCGGCCTTGGAGCGTCCGGGGGGGCCACAAGAGCCGTCTTGGGGCGCTCTTGGCTCGAAATCGCGAGAACCTGAAAATCATGCGACAAAAACATAGAAAAATCAATGATCACTGGCCGCCGCGAGCCGTCTGGACGGCCTCTGCTGTCCTGGGGCCATGTCGGAGCTCTTGATCCGTTCTCGGCGCTTCCTGAAGACGTCCCGAAGCGTACTCGAGCCGCCCGGAGGCACGCGGGGCCGCGCCAGGGACGCTAGGGCCAAAGGCCCGCCGAGGCCGATTTGGGACACTTCATCCGTTTCCCTTCCCGCACGCGCTTCCCCCAGCCATGTAGGAGAGACGCGGCGAATACGGTCTGATATGGAATGCCAGTGTTCTGTCGAGCTTGGATCCAACAGTGCAGCATAGGATCTGCAATGAAGTTCGCAGGTATGTCAACATTGCAGGACACGCGGGAGGGACATGAGAGGAGGTCCCAAGAGGTCTCTTGATTTGTAGGAAACCCCTTGCACGGGGATTCAAGAGGAATGCATTCGCTGCATATCTCAAGGAGCTCCGAACCCAACTTTGGAAGCGGTAGGTCACTTTAAAGACATCCCCTAAACACTTCTGTTTGGTGGAGGGCGGATGGTGTAATTTCTAAACATGCGATTTGTCCCAAAACATTGCCACCCGCACGCCCACTCCACAAAAACCGTTGCGCGCACCGCGAGACTGTTACGCGCGCGTTGCAATAGTGTCAGTTCCGGTAGCCGGAGCGATCCCCTAAGGGGCAGACGTGCATCAAAGGGGACACCTGGTGAAACGGGCACAGGGAAGCAAACTCACGCATCCAACGAGTCCCTCCATCTCAGACGAAGTCTCCAGATAGTTCATGTAGCTTCTGTCCAAGAAAAGTGAGGAAACCCTGCGCCGACGCATGCTGGCGTAGAGCGGGCTGAACGCCCGACTGCACGAAGGGCCATGCCAGGCTCTGCGCAAGGTCGCCTCCCGTCGTACTGAGAGAGGCTCGGAAAGCGCGATCACTGCCATTATTTGTACCGCGGGTTCGTGTCGTGTCGAGACGTTGGTTCTTTACACCGCGGGGATCGTTCAAACTTGATTGATCGGCGGCTTCCGAAATGGCAAATCGTTCAACATCGACCGATTCTGGGTCGCCGACAGCGTTCAAGGTTGAACGCTGGCGGCGGGGTCGCAACCGGTCGACACAGCGCAAACCTACGGCACACGTTCTTCCCCAATCCGCCAGGAGCTATAGAACGGTGAAGATAAACCTGGAACGCAGATAGCGAGACTCTAAGATAGCTGCGCACGCTGTAGGCACACAACGCTGACTCTAGCACGAAGAAGATCATATACATCTGTACGCGGTGAACCATACCATGCTTCTTTCTAGAACAGCCCAACTCATCCTGGAACGCCGAAAATGATTCTAGAATCTCATTGGGGAGTAGGGACTGCGTGCTCGTTGAGACCGTCATGCAAACCCGCGTGCTCAGGCAGATGCGGCGAATGCAGGGGAGCGAAGTGACCCCGCGTGATCGCTCCCAGACCATGGGAAGGGACTACGTATTATGAAGTCTACGGGAGAAACATACTACATCTTACCCCGCCACGGTGGTTAGTGGAGGATGTACAGCGATGTGCGTACGCACGCCGATACATAACGTGGTGCATCCTGGAATGCATGAAACTACTCGGCGAATCATTTGTCGAGGTGAGATTTCACGCCCATGCGTATTCTTCCCTGGGCCCTACCCCTGACGAGAATACTCGAAACTTGAAGACTGCTGCGGATCGTTTAAGGCAATTCTCGGAGCTGTTGGAGGCACTTCCCAAACCGTCTTGAGCCCTCTCTGGATCGTCTGGGGGGAATTCGCACCGCGCAGTGATCACGAAACATTTTTTATTTGAAGAGGCATAATGCACATTCAACATTACATCGGTTCTTGCCCGTGGGAGAGCCCTGCATGGCTCTGGTGTGGCCGTCGGGAAAGAGAAGTTTGGTGTCCGTTCCATGGGAGCCCAGGGGCCCCTGGCGCTGTCCGATTTGTGCCGCATTCGGAGCGGATTTTGAACACAATTGGGACAATATTTGGACCGGATTTAGTCCGGATTCGTTCATTCAAAAGGGAGACGCGAAGAACCATGAGAGAGAGGAGGAACAAGAAGAGCGAGGAGGAGCAAAAGGAAGGGCCAAACGCGGTCCAAATGCAGGAAAAGCTGCGTTCAGTATCGCCGGCCAAGGCTCCCATGAACAGACATCGAAGGAGGGATCTGCAGGGCTTTAAACTGGCCGTCGGGGAAGAGAGTGGAGATCGTGGAGGTCGCGCGAAGCAATTCGGGGCAGCCTGGAGCTCGCAGCGTACCAGCGCGGCGAATCACAAGCGGGCTGGGCGGTCTAAACCGTTAGGGCCACGGGCCAGGGTGTCCACGAGCGACGTCAGGCCACAGACTGGGAGGGGAAGGTGGCACCCGCAATGGTCCACTGTTTTCGGACGTACAGTCAAAACCGATAGTGAGGATGTGCGATGAGGATGCGAGCCCCTTGGACGCTCATGCCGAAGCTTTTCGAGCGGGGCTGGTAACCAAAAGGGGTTAAGGATGGACCGAGGAGCCAAGGATGCAAAGGTACCCTTCTTTACTATCGACTTCGAATGTAAGACACGCAATGCGGGCATGATGATTACATCCGGCTGAAGCTTCGCTTGCCGTAGCCCACAAAGCAACATCAAAGCCTGCCGCCACTGCTTCCCCCATTCGCAAGCACATATTCCAGAGTTAAAGCTGACGATGTCGAGTTCCAACTTCGCTCCCCTACTCTCGTGGAACAGTGCCAGGGCCTGCTGCCACTGCCCACCTTTGTTACATGCACTCACTCCTGCGCTGAAACAGATCACATCTGGCTCCAATATCCGTTTGCGCAGTTCACTGAGCAACATCATCGCCTGCTGCCATTGCCCTCCTTTCTCGCACGCGCTGATCGCAGCACTATAGCTGACGACGTCTGGTTCAACTGTTGCTTTCACCAACTGGCTTAACAACGATAGCGCATGCTGCCACCGGCCACACTTTTCGCACGAGCTGATCCCAGCATTAAAGGTGACAATGTTCGGGAACAACTCTGCTCCTGGCATCTCTTGGAGTAGCGACAACGCCTGCAGCCACTGCCCACCTTTCTCGCAAGCAGTGATTGCCGCATTGAAGGTGATGGAATTCGGTGTTAATTTCCCCTCCGACACTTCGCTGAGCAACGACAGAGCCTGCTCCCACTGCACGCCTGTAACACATGCACTGACTCCAGCGCTGAAAATGACGACGTTTGACTCCAATGTCACTTGCATCGATTCGTGCAGTAATGCTAAAGCCTGCTGCCACTGTCCGCCACTCTGGCAAACGCTAACTACAGCACTGTAGCTCACGATTGTCGGTGTCAAGTGTGCTTCAAACAAATCCTTCAGCAACGACAATGCCTGCTGCCACTGTCCATCATTCTTGCAAGCGCTGATTCCAGCGTTGCAACAAATGGTGTCGATCTCGACCGTCGCTTCCATCATCTCGCTGAACAACGACAATGCGTGCTGCCACCGTCCAACTTTCTCGCACGCGCTAACCGCAGAACTGTACGTGATCGGGGCTGCCGTGAACTGCAGCCAGGAAGGCCCATATGTAGGGAAGAGTGGAGGACGCAGTGTAACCAGCTGGAAGGATCATAGTGCGTTGCCGAGGCCCCAGGGAGGGCTCTTGAATATTTGTTCGGGAGTTCCTCCTCCTCCTCCTCTTCCTCTCTTCCTCCCTACTCCCAGACCTTCACAGCCCCCCTTCGTATCCTCACCTCCTTCACGTCTTCATCCTTCCCTCAATCATTCACATCTCCTATGTCATCAGCCTCCTTCTGGCATTTCTCCTCCTCGACCTGGCGCTGCCCCTCTTCCCAGCCCATCTCCAGCACTATCCTGCCCTCGCTTTCATCTCCCCCCCCCCCTCCCCCAACTCCTGACCTCCCCTGCCGTTCCTTCTCCTCCTCCCCCTCCCCCGTTCTCTTCCCCAATCTCCTGCTCGCCCACTCCTCTTTGTCATCCTCCCCTTCATTCTCCATTGTTGAAATTTTAGAATAATTCAAGATGGCGGTAAGGAGACAGAGGCCCTCTCGTGAGCGTTCGCGGGTAACTTGGGACACGATTGATGACGATTGCGCGACGGCCACACAGGCCACTCTGTTTGCGACCATAGATGCTATCGCCGCTCACTGTCTCTTGTGCTGCATATCATTTATTCCGTGCTGTCTCACTGTCTCCTCCGCTTGGCCGGCTTTGGGACTCTCACCGCTTGCTGCGACAACATCTAACTCGAGGGGACAACAACAAAACACTACCCATGGGCGACGGCCGTCTTTCGACGCCTCGCGGTGGTAATATAATGCGTACAATGAGATCCTAAATGTTGTGCTGAGCATCCGAAGGGTCTATGGTGGGCCTCCTGGCTGCTGGGCACCTCTCAAAGGTCGTGGAACCGACTATGGGCATCTTGGATGCACTGCGACTACTGCAGGCAATCCGGTAGCCGTCCGCAACCGATCCAGGTGGTCTGGTGACGTCGGGCGTCCCCTGGTTCCAGTGGGTTTCGGTTCTTGGAGCCCCTCTCGCACTGAACGTACTAGAACTACTGAGGCGATGACAGCGTCGGGCTCCAAGTTGGTCTCTTGCAACATTGTGAACAAAGACAACGCTTGCGCCCACTGGAAGCATTTCTCGCAAGCGCTGATTGCAGCACTGTAACAAATGACGTCTGGATTCAGCTTCGCCTCCCATATGTGGTTGAACAGAAACAAAGCCTGCTGCCACTGCGCGCCTTTCTCGCACGCGCTGATCCCAGCGCTGTAGCTGACTAGGGCTGACCCGTGGACTCCGTCCACGACATCTTTCTTGAATGGTTCTCGAAGGAACGGCGGAGACTTTGCCGAAGACCTATAAGGACGGCGGCGGCCGGGGCGGCGGCAGCGAGACCGCGTCTTCGCGTCCGAGCTCTAGCAGCGCTCCAGCAGCTTGGCCGTCGCGGGGCCGCCATCGTCGGCGTCATGGTCGTCGCCGCCGCGAGGCCGCCGTCGTACCCGTAGTAGTCGGCGTCGTTGTCGTGGTGGTGGTGTTGGTCGTCGTGGACTGGAAGGAGGCTGGCGACGTCGATAGGACTGACCCGTGGACTCCGTCCACGAATTCTACACGAACTGGCATCTGATTGCGGGGCCCGACCTCACATTCCGCGAATGCTACTGTGTGCTGCTGCTTGCTGCCGCTTCTGTGCACTCTTAGTAATGCTTGAGGCCACTGCTGCGTATTCTTGCTGCTTGTGGCTGCAGGTTGTTGCTGATGGCCAATTCCGCTTGGTGCGTGCTTCTACCCGCTGCCTGCCGCTGCTTGCTGCTGCTGTGTGCCGCCGCTGCTGCTGTCTGCTTCGTGCCCACGGGAGAGATCGATGCTGCCCCAGGGCACTCGAAATGTCGCACGGTGGACTGTGCATGGGGGCTCACTGTGGACGCGCAGGAAGCCACGTCCTTTTGGGCGCCGTCTCCGCGCCCCTCTGGGATCAGACTGCGCTGGGGACTGCGCACCCTGGAGGCCTCTGGTGTATCTCGCCTCACTTGGGCGGCAACGGCGAATGGCGCCCTGGAGCTGGGAGGCACTAGTAAAGGGCAGTAGCGTCCATGTTGCCGTTCATTATTCGGCGCTCTTTCGCTCGCGCCCTCACCCGCGGAGGGGAGCAACGCTCCGATGCGGCCACTGATGGCGGGCGCTTCCTTCTTCTTGGGAACCGTTTGGGGGCCTGTCGGGGTTTCGCCCCTTGGGCCCGTTTGGGCCATTTTGGGACGGCTTTGACGCCTCTGGGGCCGGCTTGGGGCCCTCTTGGGCCATATTTGGCCGCTCTTGGGGCTGCCTTGAGTGACTCTTGGGCCGTCGTGGGCGCCTCAGGAGCGGTCCTGGGGCCGTCTTGGGGCCTGGGGCCGTCTTGGGCCGTCTTGGGGCCCTCACGGGGCGCTCCTGAAACGTCCTGGGGCGATCTTGGGGGCGTGAATTGTCCTCTTGGACGCTTTGAATTTGAAAAAGCACGGGAATTGTGAAAATGCACGTTTCCCTTAGGATTGGGCCGATGTGTCCTGAGTGGAGTTGTAAACGCACCTCGCCTAGCCGAGACCTCGCGGCCCCCTTGGAAGGGGGCTGCGGATGGCGCAATTGACGCCACTTTCGATGGCCCCTGGCGGAGAAGAGTTGGAAACGCACCTAGCCGAGGTCTCTCGGTTCCCTGGGGTGGCTGCGAATTGCACAATTGTTGTTTTTTTTCCGTGGGCTCTTTGGGGGCCCAACAGAGGGGAGTTGTAAACACACCCGACCGAGACCTCGCTGTTCCTTGGAGGGCTGCGAACTGCACAATTGTCGCCGCTGTCGTAGGCTTGTTGGAGGCCCAGCGGAGGGGAGTTGGAAACACGCCAGCGCGGCAGTAGCGAAAGGAAGGCGACGATTCCAGCTGAACCAATTTTCATAGAACGGTAACCCGTCTCCATAAAAAAAATGCTCCGACAGGGCGGCGGCGACGACGACGACGACGACGACGACGACGACGACGACGACGACCGCGACGAGGACGACCACGACGATTCCAGCTGAACCTGCCTCCGTCGTGCGGTAAGCCCGTCTTCATATGTTTCTTCTGCATTTGTATATATATACACACACACACTCATAAAAATCGACTGGGCGGCGCGCTCGGGGCGGCCCGCTTGGGGCGCCACCCCGCTGGGCTCCCCCAGCAGCCCTCGAACGCTGCGACAGTTTTGCTGTTCGCTGCCGCCCGCGCTGGCGACGGCGTCGCAAACCACCGCCCTCCCCCCCGTCGTTTCGTCTTCGCCCGCCGCTGTTAAGACTCCGCCCGCCCCTCGCCGTCGTTAGCACCCCCCCTTCCCGTCCAATTGCCGCCATTGTCGTCGCGGCGCCCTCCGCGCGTCGCACGCGCGTTCCCCGACCGCCGTCGCCGTGCGCCCCCCCGCCCGCAGTCGCTGCGCCGTCGTCGCGCCCTCCCCCCGCCAGTCGCCGTTGCGCCCCACGCGCCGTCGTTGCCTCACCCCGCCTCCAAGCTTGTCGCTTCCGATGCTGTCGGCATCGGAATCCGCGACCGTCGCAGTGTCCTCGCGCGCCTAACCGCGCAAGCTCCCAGGGAGGCCCCATCACTTCCCAACTACTGTGTTTTGTTTCGTTCGACCGTGCCCTTCGAACTATCCTCTAAGACTTGGAGCCCTCAGGGCGCGCTCCATGCACGTAGCCCTGTAGGAGGCCCCGTGCTTCATGAGCGTCGGCGTCGGCAACGGCGTCGGCAACGGCGTCGTCGTCGTCGGCGGCGGCGGCGTCGGCGTCGGCGCCGGGGCCGTAGTCGTCGCGGTCGTCGCCCTTGCCAAGGGGGGGGAGAAAGGAGGGGGTCTGGACACCTCCGAATATTCATACAGGTCGGAAGGGGGGCGCTCTGGGACCCCAGAGTACTTGTTCCAGAGGGGGGGGGTCCGGACATCCCCCCTTGTCGCTTTTTGTGTAGGGTGGGGATTCGCGCCGCCCCTGCCAACAGCGTCACAGAACGCTGTTTCAATCTTCTTGGACACAACCCAACGTGCATCGAGCGTGGCGGCTCTGCCTGCGTCGCCCTCCTGGCACCCAACGGTCGGCGCGCGCGCGAAGCGTGGCGGCGACCACCCGGCGCCCCCACAGCCAGGCCGTGACCGAGAAACGGGGTGGCCGGCAGCGCGTCGAACCGCCATCGGCCACGCACTCGCCGCAGGATTGGATATAACTCGGCGATCCCCGAGGGGCAATATCGAGCTAGGCCCGCGCCGCTGCTCTCCGCGCCCCACGATGCACCCAGCCCGCCGCAGGCCTCGTCCACGGCCGAAGTCCGCAGAGCTTTGTGTTCCATCCGGGCGGCAGAAATGCCGCGAGCGCTGACGTCCTCAACTCATTGCGACAGGGCGTGAGAAATGTTGCCAGCAAACCATGGCCGCCACTGCGCCACCGAGATGGTCTGGGCAGAAAATCTCTCCAGGCTGCGGAATGCCCGCGACCTCGCCTCAACCAAGGGCCCGCCCGTGGACCTGGCCTCCCGGGCGATGATCCGGAGATTCGCTTCCTTGGCCCGTAAAGAAAGACGTCGGCATCCCTGTCAGGTCCAAGCACGGGCGCGACAGCAGCAAGGGCAGCAAGGGGCCGTTCCAGGGGCATCGCACCAAATTCTTCATGCACCCAGGCTCCATGTCCCGCTACCCTGGCGGGAGATGGTCCATTTGGGCCACGTAGGGCATGACTGGCGGAACGCACGCCGAATAGGCGAGCGCAGCGGCGTGCAGACCGCCGCCAGCATGGCCCCAGAAGGAGGACTGCTCCATATAATTTTCGCATCGGTTTCTCCCACGGTTTGGCCGCCCACCGCGGGCGCGGCAACTCCTGTTGCACCGCGCGCCGGGCTGCTGTTTGTCGCGGCTCAGCGAGGCCGGCCAAAACGCACTTGTTCACGCTCCACCCCAGACCAGACATGGTCCAAACTCCGCCATGATGGATGCCAACGTCGGGGCCGCACTCCGCCAATCCCGCAAAACCAAAACATTGTCATCGGCGTGCGCCGTTGTGAGCGCGCACGGCACCGCGTCGCAACTGCGGCGCAGCAGCAACTCGACAACGATCGCGACCACATGGGAGAGAGCGAACCATCCTGTTTGACGCTGCTGTCCACGTGGAATCCTGTTTGCTGCCCTCCCCCACGCCACCAACCAACACCAGCTAGTGTGGCACAGCGTCGTAATCATATTGAACAATCCTTCGGGACAGCCCACATGGGCCAGGGTGGCGAGGATAGATGATCGCGCGACGTTCGGGAAAGCAGCGCGGAAGTCCGGGAGGGCCGCGTTGCCTGCGTCCTCTGTGCGCTCATCGACAACCGCACTGTTGCTGATCATCAAGCGACCAGGCAGCGAGCAGCGAGGAGCGCGGATTGAGATGCGAGGAGAAAGGTGGAGGTTGAGAACCGAGAGCTGGCCAACACACGAAGATCCTGGTGGCTTCGGCCCGCGTGCGGCCGAACTGGCTTCCTCTTGGGTCGATCACAAGGCCCTCCTGGGGTCAACTTAGGGCCTTGATTGGGGCTCTCGGGCTCCCTTGGGGCCTTCCAGCGCCTCCTGGGGTAATTAATCCGGGCGTCCCTTGGGGTGGGTACTGTTTGCGGCTGTGTAGGGCCGTATTGAAGCAGTCTTGGGGACATCTTGGAGGTTTGCTGGGCCCATCTTGAGCCATTTTGGGGCGTATTGGGCGTTCCTGGGAGTTCGTGCGGGCACGAGGTCCTGGGAGCTCGTGCGGGCACGGGGGGGTTTCTTGGAAAGCCCTCTGCCTTGCGCGGGGCATTCCCGGAGCCGAAAAATCGATAGATCCGCTGATCCGGCGTTTGGGTTTCTGAGAGCGTGGGCTTGAGCTCGCTCAAGCTTCGCTCTGTCGGGGGAGCGGGCGGGGCTGACGCCGTTCAGGCCCGGGAGGACGAGTAAGGGGGGGGCTGACGCCATTCAGGCCCGGGAAGGAGGAAGGGGGGTGTAGGGGGGGCGGCTGACGCCATTCAGGCACGGAGGGAGGAGGGCAGGCCCGAGGGGAGGGGGGGGTGTGGGGGGGGGGCGGCTGACGCCATTCAGGCCCGGGAGGGAGGAGGGCAGGGCCGAGGGAGGAGGGGGGGGAGGGGGGGACTGACGCCATTCAAGCCCGGGAGGGGAGAGGGGGGGGTCCGCTCTGTCGGGGGGGGGCGGGGGCTGACGCCATTCAGGCCCAGGAAGGAGGAAAGGGGGTGTTTGGGGGGGGGGGGGGGGGGACGCCATTCAGGCCCGGGGAGGATGGGAGGGCAGCCCGCGCGGGAGGAGGGGGGGGGAAGGGGGGGGCTGACGCCATTTAGGCCCGGGAGGGAAGAGGGGGAGGGGGGTCGCTCTGTCGGGGGGGGAGGGGGGGGCGGGGGGGGAGTACGCCATTCATGCCCGGGAGGAGGGAGGGGGGGGCTTCCGGCTGACGCCATTCAGGAGAGGGGGGGGGGGGGCTCTGTCGGCGGGGGCGGGGGCTGACGCCATTCAGGCCCGGGAGGAAGGGAGGGGGGGGGGGGGGGGGGCAGACGCCTTTCAGGCCCCGGAGGGAGGGGGGGGGGAACGCCATGGGGAACAGGGGGGGGGGGAACGCCATGGCTGATATCACTCAGGCCCGAGAGGAGAAAGACGGGGCGAGGGGGTGGGGGGGAGCCAAAACTCCCTCCCCGCCCGCAAGCCGTCTCGCTCGCTCCCACCCGCCCTCCCAACACATACGCACCCGAGCCTGGCCCGAGCCGCAGCACATGCAGCAGTCGTCTTTGGATGGCCAGCTACTGGGGGCCAATCCGCCGCCACCGCCGCCGCCGCAGCCGCAGCCGCCGCAGCCGCCGCCGCCGCAGCCGCCTCAGCCGCCGCAGCCGCCGCCGCCGCCAAGTGTACTCTGTATTGTTTGTTGACAGGGATGATGGGGTGAGGCCACATCGGGTTGGCTGCGCATGCTCCGAATTTGGAGGCGTAATGCGTTTTGTATGTTTTTTGGTACAAAAGGATGGTGGGGAGGGGGGCCTGCATTGTCCCTGGTTGGCTCCCAGTCGCCTGGGGGAGAGGGTGGAACATATATTGACGCCATGGTTGACGCCATTCACACCCGGGAGGGGGATCTGGGAGGGGAGGGGGGCTGACGCCACGGCTGACGCCATTCAGGCCTGGGAGAGGAGAGGGGGGTGGGAGGGCAGACGCCATGGCTGACGTTATTTACGCTTAGGACGGGGGAGTCGGGCGGGGGGCGGGGGCTGACGCCATGGCTGACGCAATTCAGGCCCCGAAGGTGGGAGGGGACATCCCATCAGTTTGGCTGTTTAGCGAGATCGTCACTGTCGAATATCCGAAGGTTGCCCAAGCGAGATCAACATCTCTATCTTATGAGCATGTCTCGAGCGAGTGCTCTACGTTTACACATAAAAGGCCATCCTTTGCAAGCAGAATCGGTAGCACCCCAGATCGGCGGCTCTGGCCGGAGGCCACTACAATAGCTGAACCTTTCCGAAAACCATGCTTGAGGAATCTCATCTATTTTTCGCCTGTCAGGAGACTCTCGGCGAGGCCTCCGCAGAGCATGTCAGGGCCACCTCGGCGTCATTGTGGGCTGCCTTCCGGGCTCTGTGGGGCCGCGTGAGGTCCTCCGGGAGCTCGTCATGGCTGCGTGGGGCGTCTTGGGGGCGCTCCAGAGCCGCTCTAGGGCCCTCAGGACAGCTCTAGGAGCCGCATCCATTCGGGCCTCAGTCCTTTCTCGCACACGCGGGCCCAGCATGTTAAAAAAATGACGTCGGGTTCCAACTTCTCCTCCCGAATCTCGCTGAGCAACGATAGAGCCTTCTGCCACTGGTCGCTTTTCTCGCATGCGCTTATCCCAGCGTTGTAGCTGATCACGTCGGGATGTAACATCACATCCCTCATCTCGTCGAGCAGAGACAGAGCCTGCTGCCACTGGTTGCATTTCTCGCACGCGCTGATCCCAGCGTTATAACAGAAACGGCCAAGAGACTTGTTAACGCGCTCTCGTGCGCCTGGTGGGGCCTCTCGAGGCTTCCGGAGCGTTCTGGAGGCGTGGGAATGGGCACCAACACCAACACAAAGGGGTTGCCTCGAAAGGGGGAATTTGATCCCAGATGAACCTCCGGCCACCTAGGAAGCCCGAATATTGCCACCAGTTCCAAGATCGGGGTTATCTTTCCCGGTCGAGGCACACCGCCGATGTTGGTGTTGGTGTCACCCTCTAAGCATCCGATTCTGGGGCGATCCTGGTGCCGTCCCTGAACCGTCGGGGGCGGGTGTTGGGGCCGTCGTGGGCCCGTCTTTGGCCGCGCTTGGGCCTCCCTTGGGGCGGCCGCCAAGGTGGCGGAGTTGCGGTCGAGCTTGATTGGAGAGGATACGCGAGAGGACACAAGACCCTTCGAAGGGCAAAATTGCCATGGGAATCTAGGAGGCATGGGTCGCTAAACACAGGACACACTACCCTTGATTTGGCAGGGCCGACCGAATAATGAAACTCGGCTGTGTGTGGCTCCCTCTCTGACACGCGCACGGCCCCGAACTGTAATATAGATGACGTCCGGCTCTAAGCTTTCTTCTCTCAGTTCGCAAATCAACATCAGAGACTTTGACCACTGCCGACCTCTCTCACAGGCGCTGGCTCCAGCACTGTAGCTGATGATGTCTGGTTCTAGCTCTTCGTGTCGCATATCCTGGAGCAACGACAGGGCATGGTGCCACTGGCTGCATGCTCCACAAGCGCTAATGCCTACATTGTAAACTACAGCAGATAATCGCGTGTTTGTTCGCGACGCATCCAAGATCTGCCTCAGCGCGGCGCTCCATTGTTTGGTGCGTCCGCAATGCTTGATTGAGGCTGCGAGTTGTTTCAACTCCAAGACTTGCGCACTGACATTGTGATCATGTATTGAGCCCATGTCTGTTGGAGACGGAGGGTGACGCGAGGCCTCCCGAACGATAGCTCGGCTCTTGCGTATCGCGATGGCGTGGCGCGTGTGGGCGTGGTCTGGGGCAGAGTCGGGAAGTTGGTGCAGGTGCTGCGCCTGCTACTCCCACCGAATCTGAAATTTATGTACTCCCTGACGGTTTTCACGTGCGCACCATGTCGTCGCGCTGCTTTCGCGGCGTGGTGCCACGGGATCGTGGTGTACTGCCCCCTCCTCCCTCCTCCGTTCCCGATGCGAAGCCGAGCGTCGCATCATCACCTCCGCTCCCTCTGCTTGGTTCAACTTAGAAACGACCTGGGCGTTTTTGTTAAAGCATGTTCCACTTCGGTCTCTGGACAAACTGATAATGCTGAACGCACTCTTCGGTGCTTCAACTTTCTTTGAAACAACTGGTCCACGTTTCCTGTTGCGTCGTAACATCCATAGACGGGGGCTGCAACTCATTGCCGTGCCCATGGCTGGAAGCGGTGACCAACAACTCTCTGGAACTGGTCTGACACCGGTGCGAAACAGAACTCGAAGCCCACGGCCCGTCCACGGCAGGCTCCGACGATGGAAAACAACAGACCTGACAGCGCTGGAAGGACAACTACTTTGTTTAGAGTGTGCTGTTTCCTTGTTGGTACCTGAAAACAATGACAAAAAAACCGAGACACCGAGCCAAAACATTTGTTTACACAGAACAGCGCCTACGTAGAGCATACCCTCCTCCTTCGCGGGATTGGGGATTGAGGCTTGCGTGTTGCAGCGAGGCTCTCCGTCCCTCCTCCAACTGCTCCTCGTCAGAGAAGAGCTCTCGGCGGTGCAATTGGCTCCTCGCTGCTGGCGCCGACCGCTGGCAGCAGGGGTCTCGCCTGCTCGCATGGTCACGGGGACCGAGAGGACTCCCAATCAGCCACCCTGGAGGCTTCCGCCTTCACTCTGGAGCCTTCCGCAGGCACGGACCTCTAACTAATCAGAAGGCCCTCAGCTTCCAATCAAGTGTGAGCTGGAACGCTTGCAAAATCCAGTCTTTCGAGTCGGTGCGATTATCACAATCGGAGTGCATCTCCTGTAAAAGACGAACGTCCATGGTGCGGCACGGCACCCGTCATACAGATCCCTAGCGTGACCAGATGTGACCGGGCCCGCTGCAAAAAAGTCCTCACTAAAGCTCACAAGATAGCACTAACATCCATATAGTATTGCCACCCTTCTTGTGATTACGCTGCTTGCACCGACTCAATACTGACGCTCAATAAAATAATACATAAAAGGGTAGAGATGGAGCAAAGAGCTGAACACGGAGATAGCGAAATGGATGCATCGCAACTAATATGCTAGCGAACAGAGCTTCAGACGCCCTCGCAGCAACACCTGCAGACGTGTACAATCGGAGTTAGGCCAAAAGAACATCCCTCAAAAAACATGAACCCTCCGTGGGTATCCTCCACAGGGTGCACAATAACATCCAATAAACACGAGGAACATGAGGGTACACTCCCCGAACCGACCTCGATCTTATACCTCGGTCCGACTATACACCACTCCTCAACCATTATGGAACCTGACCCAACAAGATCGCTTTCCAGCACAACCAGACCCGTTGCATTGATGACAACCCTCTGGAACATTTCAATCGCTACTCCATGAACCTCTCTGGGGCCCGTGGTGTCCAGGTGGGGTCCCCTCCAGAAACACATGGTTCGAATGTTGCGCTTGCGTCTCCCTTTGAAGCTTCCGCACTTCCTCGCTCCATTCGACCTAGGCATGATCCATTAAGTATCAGTCAACATTGATGCTGCGTCAGCGCTCGGATGATGTGCATGATGAGACTGTTGCACATGGACTCGATTCTGTATGATTTTCAGATTTGGCCGACGCTGGTGTTGGTGGCCGAATTCAACTTTGTCTCCAATTTGATCGTTACTGCTTCATTGGGCAACTTGCTTGTCCAATGCGCTGTCAGCCTGACTACGTCCTCGTACGGTGAGGGTATCCGTTTTGAGCGACAATCGGATGGACGCCGCATCCAAATGAGCCGATCGCAAAGAAACGCTTGCCCAGACAGCGAAGCTTACACGTTTTTTTCGGGGCCTTCCCCCAGGACCACCAGCTCTTCAGCCTGAAAGATGGTTTGCCAATCCCAGGGCCCGTTGCCCTGAGGATCCCTTTACTCCACAGCGACAAGAGTGGATGATAGGGGGCAGGAGGGAATAGCGTTCTGAGGGGCAACATCAGGGCGGGGGGACCGGCAGAGGGGGGGAAGCATCGACCTGGAATCGGCGATACCTCGCCGATCGATCGGCGATAGACCCCCGATAGCGAAACCGCACGCTCCTGGGCGGGGCGGGCTATCGGGCCCATTTCAGCGATGAGTGGGAATTAGGGGGTCGATGCGTACCCCCCCCCCACAGCTCAACCCCCCCCCTGACGTCATTTCGAGGCTTTCGGGCCCCAACTCGGCTCTCCAGCGGCCGTTCGGGACGACCAGGGCACCCCAGGAACGCCCTTGGCTGGCCGCAGCCACTGCAGGGCATCCCGAGGCTGGAAAGCCGCCGAGAAACGACGAAAACGCCCGAAAACCTCAAAACCCCGAAGCACTGAGCCTGTCCCCTCTTCCCTATAGCGCTACCCCTGAAGTGCACAAAGAGAAAGAGAAAGAGAGCGAGTACACAAGCGCCCCGCCCCCTCCTGCCGCGCCGGCGCCGCGCCCCCAGCCAGCGCTGGCTCCGTGGTGCTGACGGCGGCTGGCGGGGGCTTGGGCGGCGCCTGCGCGGGCTGATCGGGCTGCTCAGGTGGCACTTTTGATCCGCCAGTCGCGCGCTCTCCGTGGGGCGGCGGGTGTCCTGCCCCCTCCTCCTCGTTCATTTTCTCCTCCTCTTCCTCTTCCTCTTCCTCTTCCTTCTCCTCCTCCACCTCCTCCTCCTCCTCCTCCTCCTCCTCCTCCTCCTCCATTCCTTTTCCTTATGGAAAACTCCTCCCAGTCGCACCCCGAGGCCGGTCAAAAGGGCGGGCCAGGCGGTTCGCTTGATGCTTCCTTCCTTATCACTGATGACCCTGATGCGTAAGCATTGCAGCTTCACAGATGGAGGGCGAGTCGTTTTCAAAATGTGGCTCGCGCATCAGCGCCGCGCACATTCGTGTTAAAGCGCTGAAAGAGGTTCACGGATTGCGGGCGGATGGTTTTCAAAATGTGCCTTTCGCCTTAGCATCGCGCGCATTCGTTTAGAACATTGTAACAACTTAACTGAATGAGACCGGGCCGTTTTCAACATGTGGCTGCCTCCTTAGCGCCGCACATCTCCGTTTTTTAATTGCAAGAGCTTCACGGATTGAGGGAATTCGTTTTCAAAAATGTGGCTCTCGCCTCCGCGCCGCGAAAATTGTTTTCAAACATCTCCAGGAGATTCACGGATTGAGGGCCAGTGATTTGCACGTGACTCTCACCCTAGCGCCGCGCACATTCTCTCTGACAAGTTGCCCAAGCTTCACGGATTGATGGTGGTTCTTTTTCAAAATGTGGCTCTCGACTTCGCGCCGCGCACATGTGTTTAAGCATTTGCTTTATTTACATTGGTTGTCACGCACGATTAACGGGACTAGAAATTACGTTTTCGCGCGATGCAGGATTGTCAGGGCGCAACAGTTGCGTTGATTCGCTCTTGCGTACTAGCACAATTCAGGATCGCCAAGACGTAACAGTAAGGCTTACTCGTGGCGTTGAAGTCTTGGGGATGGTGCTTTGGCACGCTGCAAGATGTTCACACCATTGTCCCCCAACGTGCGAATGTCTCCAATGGAAATGACCCTTTGTAGGGTCCTATGAAGAGGAATCTTGGAGGAAGGGTATCTTTCACCATCGTTGGTGGGTTCTGGGTTCACACTGGTCCTCCTCCTCCTCCTCCATTCCTTTTTCCTGTCATTAACTCCTCTACGTCGCACCCTGATGCCAGTCCGAAGGGCGGGCCGGGCGGCTTGTCTGAGACTTTTTTACCTGTTGTGAGCCTGAAGCTTAACAAGAGGCAGCAGTTTCACAGATGGAGGGCGAGTCGTCTTCCAAAATGTGGGTTTCGCCTCCGCGCCGTGCACACTCGTGTTATCACACTGCAAGAGCTTTGCGGATTGAGAGCGGGTGGTCTTCAAAATGTGGCTCTCGCCCCAACGCCGCATACATTCGTTTCACACGTTCGGCAAGAGCTTCAAGGATTGAGGGCGGGTGGTTTTCAAATTGTGGCTCTCGCCTTAGCGCCGCGCGCTTTCGCTGCACACATTCCAAGGGATTCACTGATTGAGGGCGGGTCGTTGTCAACATGTTGCTGCCGCCTTCGCGCCGCGCACATTCGCTTCAACTTATCTTGCGACGTTCCTAATATTTCTACACACATGTGGCGACGACACACAAGGCCGATCAATATAAACGAGCATGTTGAAGAACCCTCAAGAACCCACTACAATGGCGACAAATCAACAATTCGCAGCGCCCCAATGAACCGCGAGGTCTCGGCTGGGTGTGTCTCCAACTCCCCTCCGCTGGGCCGCCAACAAGCCTACGACAGCAGCGACAAATGCGCAGTTCGCAGTCCCCCATGAACCGCGAGGTCTCGGCGGGGTGTGTTTACAACTCCCCTCCGCTGAGCCCCCCCCAGAGCCCACGAACAAAAACAACAATTGTGCAATTCGCAGCCACCCCAGGGAACCGAGAGGTCTCGGCTGGGTGCGTTTACAACTCTTCTCCGCCAGGGGCCCACGAAAATGGCGTCAACTGCGCAATTCGCAACCCCCCATCCCCCCAAGGGGGCCGCGAGGTCTCGGCTGGGCGAGGTGCGTTCCGCTGGGCCTCCCAGGAACCCACGAACGTTGCGACACCTGCGCCTTTCGTAGCCCCCGCAGGGGAGCCGCGAGGTCTCGGCTGGACCCCGCTGGACCTCCCAGGAGCCCGCGAAACTGGCGACAGCCTCGCAATTCGCAGCCCCCCCCCTCCCCCCAGGGGACAGCCAGGTCGCCCCCTCCGAGAAGCAGACGAGAGGGGCAGAGTCACACCGGGGCTGCAGCGCTATCGTGGCGAAGGAGAGAAGGGAGGAGGAAGAGAAGAAAGTGGAGACAGGAGGCAGGAATTAGGAGGCGGGAAGCAGGATGGGGAGGAAGAAAGAGGAGACTCGACCACAGCTGCCTATTCAAAACGAGAACCCAACACAGGAGGGTTGGTAACACATGCAAGGGCTCGCTGGTGTTCATGATTAACGGGACGAGAAATTGCTGTCTGGAGCGACGCAATATTGTCAGGGCGCAACACCGAAGCTGATTCGCGGTATTGAAGTCTCAGGAATGGTGTTCCGGCACAATTCAGGACCGTCTAAATGCAGCAGTTATGTTGACCCGTGGCGTCGAAGTCATGAAAATGGTTTTGGCACGCGTCAGAATATTCACGCGGTCGCCCCCCAACAGGCGAATTGCCTCAATGGAAATTGTCCTTCGTAGGGGCCTACTAAGAGGAATCTTGGAGGGGAGGTGCATTCCAATATCGGTGATAGGCCTTGGGTTTACACTGGTCCTCTCCCTCCTCCTCCTCCTTCTCCTCCTCCTCCTCATCCTCCGCTTCCTCCCCCTCCTCCTCCTCCCCCCAGCAAGCCCCGCGAACTTCCCAGAGGGGCCCCAACCCTTCATCCTCACCTCCTCCACTTCCTCCTCCACTTCCCCCTCACACTCAAACTCATCCAACACTCAAAGTTCAGCATACCCGGACTCGGTCGCACCTGAAGCAATCATGCTGAGACACGCACATACCCAGGCGCTCTCAGACTCAGGCTCACTCATACTCAGACTCACTCGCACGCTGCGTCCCTTGCACCCACAGCCTCTCAAAACCAGACTCGCCCACTCTCGGACCCACCCATACTCAGGGTAACTCGCACCCAGATTCCGATCATGCACAGGGTTGGACGCCAACAACCCCAAACTCGCACATTCAACGCAAGGCTGTTTCAGGCGAGGCGTTGGCTTCAACACTCCCAATAGGGGGCACCAGGGGGTATCGCACGCGACCGTTCGCGCCCGTATTGTGGGGATGTCGAAAGCGGTGTGCCTGCTTGCGTGCTCGACATCCTTTTTGCTTTCACCCCCAAGGGGGGTATGGGCGCCAAGGGGTATCTCACGAGCCCGTTCGCGACCAAAGTGTGGGGATGTTTCAGGTTGTTGGCCTACGCGGTTGCCTAACATCCGTTGCTTTCAGAATGGGGTGTGAGGATGTCTCTGTCGGTTTGCCACCTTCTGCCCCCCAGGCCGTTTCCCTGTTGTGGCACAGTGTTCACCACGATAAAACACGCGTGGCACTTGGGCACCACAATGGGGGAACCGCCGCGGGTGGGGGCATTCCAGGCTCGTGACCAATGTATGGGGCTGTCTCCGGCGGTTCGTTTGTTCCTGCCACCTTTTTTACACTGCATGTGTTATCTTATGCTGGTGGTCCAATGCTCCTCGCGGGAAAGCACGCGTGGCACTTGAGCAGCCGAAGTCGGAGCCGCCAAGGGTGTGCACACTTCAAGATTCGCGCTTGGGTTGGGAAGATTTTTCAAGCGGTTCGCGTGTTTCTGCCCCTCCAAGAAATTATTCTCGTGGTCCAAGGCTGACCGTGACGGGCCGTGATATAACACGACCAGGGGATGCTGCAGAATTCGCGTTCAGATGGGGGGATCTGCCTAGCGGTTTGCGAGCCCTGCTCCCCCCAGACTACTGTTTGGACCTGTGCGCTCCTCAGGCGAACCCATTCGCACCCGGACTCACTTTTCATCACCTCCTCCTTGCTCAGACCATCGCCTCACACTCAGAATCGCTCATACTCAACGTCAGTCGTACTCACACTCACACATACGTACTCGCTCATACTCAAGCTCGCCCGAACCCAGGCTCACTCACACCCGACCCAACTCACACTCAGACCCGCCAGCCATCAGACTCGCTCGCGCTCAAACCCATGCGCGTCTTGACCCGATCACACTCAGACACTCCGAATCGCGCGTAGGCAGATCACAAACGCCCTCGCCGACTCATGCCCACTGAAATGAATATGCAAATGGCTACCGCGATAAAGCCGGCGTGGTACTTTGGCACCCCAAGTGCCAGCAACCGCCGAGAGCAGCACGGCAGAGAGCGGGCGTAGCAAAGCCATGCGCGCTTGCATGCGTCACCGCGGGGAGAACGCCTCTTGTGTTTCCTTCCCTTCTACTGACAAATGTCTAGAGGATGAAGTGGAGGAGAAGGAAGAAGAGGAGGACGCCACTCAAGTCGTCGCTGTCACAGTCGTCATTGCCGCGCCTGTCGTCTATGCGGGCTCGCTCTGACCTCCAGATACGCATAGAGTCTTAGAGAGAGTTCCCCAACGAAACGTGGCAATAGCAGGGTATGCACGTATGGGGATACCACGTCGAGTAAGTTGTCCACACGCTACTTTGAAGACCGCGGGGGAATGAAGGGTAGAGAACACGCGATCCACCGCATTACTTTACCATCCAGCTGCCGAACGCACGCAGCTTCCCCCAGCGTTGCAGGCCTGATACAACAACCCTGGACTCGACCAACGAGACAACTGCATGTGTCACGAAGTCGGGGCAGGAGCGGCACCACAGGGAGGACGAGGAGGAGGGAAAATGGGCAGCGTGGTTGTGGGCCCCTCTGCGCCGCCCCTGCGCCCCTCAATCAGCCCATGAGAACTGGCCACGGAATGAGAAAAGGATCGGTGCAGTGCATGTGCCCCGGGCGCGCTCGCCCAGACAGCACGAACCCCCTTCCCCGAAGAGTCCCCTGGTGATGAGCAAGGAACGCGCATCCCATCCATGCAAAGCGACCACCTCCCCCGTTTTAGACGGACGTGCACCAAAGTGGCGTGCAGCACAGAGGGTAAGTCATGCATTCCTGTGCCGCCAGAGTCTGCTCAGGGGAGGGGCGCCACGGGGCGAGCGAAGAGCAGGAGGTGGCGCACTAGGTGCGCCAAGAGCCCGAGGAACGGCAAGAGCAAGATTGGCAGAAAGGAAGGACTGCTCCTGCGGAAATAGGCGTCCTGGACCCCAGGACCTGCCCCCTGGAACAACTCTCCATCATGTTTTCTTTGCTGCCAGATCCTAAGGCCCGTGGATTGCCATGGGAAGCAAAACTGCCAAAACCTCTGGACCCGTTGCATTCAAGACCCTCTGGCTTCTAGCGACGAAAACATGACAAACACAACCGTGGCAATCCGACCTGTACGGGCCCTTGGTTTCGCGACTTTACGGCCGAGTTCACATGGGACCACCCTGACATGCATCTGTGAAAGAGAGGCGGGCGTCAATGTTCGCCTTCGCCAGTGAACGGCTGGTGCCACCAGGGTTAGTGAAGCCGTCCGTGGTGCTGGGTGCCTCCCCCCCCCGCTTTCTCACACTTTCTATAATGTTTGTTTGTTCTCTCTCCCTCTCTTTCTCAAGCTTTATCTCTCTAGCTCTCTCTTTCTTTCAATGCGTACATGCGTATTTACATTATACAATTATACAGACACGCGCGAATATATGAATATGGCACTGTGTAAGCGTATGTGTTGTTCAGTGACGCTCTCTCGTTCAAGCTTTCAAGCTGTATACGATGTACACCCATGCGTTTGTCAGGAAAAAACCCTTGACACGCTGGAATTGGGGGGGCCTCCCAAAAACAACGATTGAGCGCCCCTTGAAACACCGATGGGGCCCCATCCTTTTGGAAACCGGCCTCCCTAGCCAGGCCTTCTCCCCAAGGGGGGGGCGCCTGGGGATTCGAACCAGCGAAATGATTTCTGGACGTGCATAAACGGGGCGGGGCTTGAACCCAGGGGGGGGGGCCCTCCCTGTCCAAGGAAGTGCGGGGGGATCCCCATGACTTGCAAATTCGACCCAGGGGGCAAGCCCCCAACTGAGTCGCGACGGGGTGGATAATTCGAACCGAAGCCCCCTTCTCCCTCGTCGTCGACATGGGTTTTCGCCGTCGCCGTCGCCGCTGTCGCCGTCGCCTTCGGTCGCCGTCGCCGTCGCCGTCGCCGTCATCGTCGCCCTCGCCGTCGCCGTTCTCGCCGCCGTCGCCACCGCCGCCGCCGCTGTCGTCGTCGCCGTCGCCGTTGCCGTCGCCGTCGCCGCCGCTGTCGCCGTCGCCGTCGCCGTCCCCATCGCGTGCCGTTGTCGCCGTCGCCGTCGCCGTCGCCGTCGCCGTCGCCGTCGCCGCCGCCGCCGCCGGCGCCGGCGCCGTCGCCGTCGCCGTCGCCGTCGCCGTCGCGGCCGCGGCCGCCGCCGCCGCCGCTGCCGTCGTCGTCGTCGTCGTCGTCGTCGTCGTCGTCGTCGTCGTCGTCGTCGTTGTCGTCGTCGTCGTCCCTACCTGGCGACGACGGCGCTGGCGCCGTCGCTCGCTGTCGTCGGTTGTTGTCTTCGTCGCTGCCCAGCGGCGCCGGCGCGGGCGCCGGCGTCAGCGCTCGCCGCCGTCGGTTGCAAAAGCGGGGGGCTCTCTCGATTTGACCCTCCTCTTGCAACTCCGTGGGTGTGGGACCCCCTCCCAGTTCGAACCTCACCCCCCCCTGCGACTCGATGGGGGGGCGGGGCCCCCCGGTTCGAACGCCCCGCCTGTGGACAACTGCAGGAGTAGCCGCGCGCCCCGCGCGCGGCCGCTGCAGACCTTGCGCGGCGCCTCCACGTGCGACAAAATCTCGCTGTCCCTGCAGCGCCAAACCCTACTCGAGGGCGGGGGGGCGATCTTGTCGGCGCTCGCACGGTTGATCCCGACGGTCCCCAGGCGGTCATGCTTCATCTCGAACTAGCACCCGCCTTCGCCGACGTCGCCGAGCGAGGCCAGGACCTCGCCATCGTCACCCGAGAACAGGATGAAGAGAAGCCAGCGAGGACCACTGCATCCCAAGCGGAAGGTGGGCGTTCGCAGGTTGTGGTTCAGCGCGGCCTGCCAGTGGCGCCCGAGGGCCTCGTAGCGGGCGCGTGCTTCAGCGCTGGCGTCGAGACGGCGACGCGCGTGGACGGTGGCCTTCGTCCGAGGGCCGATCCAGTCAACGCCGTTTTGCTTCGCCCCCTGAACTACCTCGCCGCCGATCTCGGAAGTGGCGAAGCCAATGGAACAGCACATTTGCATTCTCTTTGCGTTGATCTACACGTTGGCGCGGCGGGCGGGGGCCAGGCCCCGCAACGCGTGGTCGGCGTGGGCCCGAAGAACAATGCCGAGAACACGTCGTGGAAATCCTCCATAGCTTGCGTCTGTCAGCGTCCTGCGCGGCAGCTGCTGGGGCGGCGGCGGCGGCGCCGACGGCGCGGCGCTTGGAGCTCCCCGACGCGGCAACTGAACTCTCCTAAGACGGGGGCGATCTGACTCGCGAAGCTGCTGTCGAGGCCGCCTGCTCGCTGGCCAGCAACGGGCCCTTTTCCACGGTCATGGTGGCGGCCTCGACGGCGGCGAAGATCTGCTCGGATGCGCCGTCCTGCACCGTGGTGATGCGAGTCTCAAGGTTGGCGATGTGCTCGTCGCGCATGTCGAGCCACTTCCACATGTTGGCCATGTCATCCTTCATGCAAGCGTTGAAAGATTGTGGCCCCTTTTGCGGGGCAGGTCCATCGGGCCGCCGCTGGCCCGCGGGGTGCTCGGTGCCGGCGAACCAACGGGCGCGGCAGTAGACCCGCGCAGCCCATGCTGGGGCGCCTGCAATGTGAGCGGCCGCCGAGGGGATTGCTGCACTCGACAAGGTCGCAATCGGCATCTGCGCCGAGAGTTCGAAAGCTGCTCGCGGCAGGGCCAGACGCTAATCGCTGGATCTCGGGCGCCCAAGACATTCCGCATCGTTTTAGATTGAACCGCGCTGTCTACGGAACGCGACGAGGAGGAAGGGGGGGGAACGGGGGGGGGGCGAGGAGGGGGGAGAAGGATTGCGACGAGGGGGCGGGGGGCGACAGCGAGCCGAGCACGAGGAAGGACGCGCGGGGGGGGATGCAGAGGACGAGCTGCCGATGCTGCCAGCGCTGTTCCGGGCGCCGCCAAAAACCACAGTGCAAACAAAGCGCGCCCAGAAGCAACGAGCAGCAGCGAAGTCACTCTGACAACTGACACTCATGAATGGTAATCCCTGGGCCAGCCCTAATCAGCTACAGCAGCGGCGTCGCGACGCGCGAACAAGGCAGGCCGCGGCGGCGGGATTGGAAGAAGTGCGCGAGCACAACGTCGTCAACTACAATGCTGGGCCCAGTCGCCAAAGCCAGATGAGGGCAATGGCCGCAGACGAAATCGCGCGCAGCATTTGGGCGAGCTCGCGCGGGGGGGGGCGCGGCAATGCGCGCGCGAAACTCGCGCGGGTAGGCATTGGCGACACGTGCGAAAACGAACAGTGGCATCACATTGCTCGTTGCCAACAGGCTCGCATGAGATGGCGCCCAGTGTGGAAACAGCTGCAGCGCCGCGATCAGCTCGCGCGAACGGGGCGCAAGCTTGCGACGCAGCGCATCCGCGGAAGATCCGCGCCGCGGGGGGAGGCGACCCCTGCCTCAACTACGGCGCGGGGACTGCAACTTCGAGGAACTGGTGCCGAGGCGCCGCCGCTGCGCGAAAGGCCGGGGCAACTCCTGGCCACTACCGCGAAGCGGAAGGAATCCGACCATGGGCCCCTTGCGGGCTGACAGCTCGGTCGCTTGGGGCCTGGTACGGGGTCGGCCCGCGTGCCGACATTCGGCTGCGAGATCTGCGGGGCGCTTGCGCCTCGTTCGGCCGCGATGCTACCCGGCGGTAATCCTGACGCACTTCCTCTTTTACGCTGATTTGCCAATTCTCCGTCAGGAGGGGAGCTTTCGCAGCCCGATTAAACGGCAAATCGTGTAGCTGCTCGCCACGGTGATCTTATTATTGCAATTGCTTCGCGCTCAGATCCGAGCGATGTTGAGGCGCTCTTCGCAGCCGTGGCTTAGCGCGGCGCCGCGCCGTTCAGCTGCGACTTGCTCGTTTTCCAAACTAAATTGATCGCGTCTCGGGGTGGTGTGGTGGGGTGGGCCGTGTAAGATAGTAGTGCAGGTTATATCCCCCGTCCTGCCCTGCCTGTCTTTCGTGTCCGCTCAAGCTTTTTCTGGCTCGAGATCGTTCGAGCCAGGAGCGCGCGCTCGCCCTTCTGCCCCACCAGCGTGGGTGCTCGCGGCGCGGGCGCTGATCGTCGGCACCACGGCGAGCGGTGGTGGCTCGCCAGTGCTGCCTTGCTCTCGTACGTCGGGGACTGGGGGGTCCTCGACTCATTCCTTTCGAAGCCGCTCGTGGAGCCCGAGGACGACGCGTCCCTGAGGTACACGAGAGAGTCCGAGCGGCTCAGCTTCTACGACTATATACGGTTGCATATGTCCAGCGTGACGCGATGGAGCCGCTTCTATCGGACGACTGGCCCTCAGCGGGGGCAGGTGGTCCTCCTGGCGATGCGAATGTACCCCAAGAAGAAGAACGACACGAGGTGGATCTACGTGAAGCCGGACCGCGCGCTCGGCGTGGGCGACATCAAGGATCGGGCGAAGATGTCAAGTCGTCGACAGCCAGGCTGGGACTACGAGGCGTTCCCGGCCCTCACGGCCCCCGAGAAGGCGGACATCCTGGAGAAGGCAAAGGAGGAGCAGCTCGAGGCCGAGCTGTATCTGTCCAACATCCGCGGCTACGTTGCCTCGCTGTCCTGGTTTCGCTCTGGTCTGGTTGGCGTATGGAGCACATGGAACTGGGGGTCGACGGCGGGCGCCGCCTTCTTTTTCTGGAGGGTGGCGGTCTACTGCAACCTGCGGCAGTGGATGCGCTGGTCCGTGGAGAAGCTCGAGGACGGCCACAACATGATACTCGAGATCGACGATTTCCGAGGGTATCTGCACGACCTCTACCAGGACGGCAAGCTCGAGATTCCCATCATGATCTTCACCGCGGTGGTGGCTCTTGGGCCTCGCCTCCTGCGATGCTGCAGGCAGCGCCCCTCCCCTCTGCTCGCGGGGGCCTCGCCTCCAGTGAGCGACGTGGACAGCGACGGGAAGGCGGGCCACTCGGTGGCGGGGTCGTCGGACGAGTCCGAGCCCGCCAAGGACATGCAGGAGACGAAGGCCATGATGAGCAACCTGCTCGACGAGATCACCAAATCAAAGTCGGAGTCGCCACGTGCCCCCACGAGTCGGAGTGCCTCGTCGGCCGCGTCCCCTGGAGAGAGCAGTCACGCCAGCTGGGAGAAAATCCCCAGTGTCAACACGGACTCCAGCATGGACGTGCATGTAGACAGGATGATCGACCGGCTGAAGCGTTTCGAGGACACGATCAATGCGGACAAAGCCTCTCCGGGATGCAAGCCCTTGCAGGCACCTCATCCACGTCGGCCACGGCGGGATCTACGACGTGCCCTACCATCGACCTGGGGACGAAGGAGACGCTGGAGGGCGCGGGGGTGAGCCTCGAGCCCTTGCGGGAAGCACTCCGGGACCCCAGGGAGAGGTTGCTGGCCAACCTCTCGAAGATCGATGCGCCGCCCACCTTCACCCTCCCAGCGGGCCTCACCTCCCGCGTGGCCCCCGAGCTGTTGGTCCAGACCTACGGGAAGTACGGCAGCATGGTGAAGTTCGCGACGGACTGGGTTCGCCTCAAGGAGCTGAATCGCAACCACATCGGCCACGAGATGATGCTGCACTGCATGACGCTGGAACGGATGCTGGAGGCCTCGCCCGAGTTCATCCAGACGGCGGGCTGCGAGATCCTATGCGCACGAGCTTATGCTCTGAAGCGGGCGTTCAAGGACGTGGCATGCATCAACGACTGGAAGCAGCCCCGGGGCAGCGGGGCCAACAAGTGGAAGTCCAATGCGCGCTGGGACCTCGCGAACGAGCTGGGCTGGAGATCTCTCACGGAGGGCGGGGAGGCGCTCCCAGGCGTGGAGCGCGACTTGACGGCCAGGCTGCAGCAGAAGGCTCTCTTCCAGAAGTATATGCAGAAGGGGGGCTCGGACGCAGTAAAGGAGGAGGACGAGTAGACGTTGGAGAAACTCTCCCTGTCTGTGGTGCCTCGCGGGGCTCCCCGCGCTTGAGGGAGGGGCTGGCGGTTTGCCGTTCCGTTCGCCCTGACGACGGCCACTCTGGTGGGCTTACTCTCCCGATAGCTACGGTGACGCTCCTGCTTATCGCGACGATCTTTTCGCGTGGCCCTGCGCCCCTCGGGGGGCGACGCCATGCCCGCTTTTCTCCATCCACGCACTTCTCCATCTTCTACCTCGACGGCGGCCACAGGCGCGCCTCCCGAAGCCGTTCCTCGAGACCGAGACCTTCTGCCGGATTTGCCGCTACTACCGTGGTCGGTGGTGGTGGACCGCGCGGGGCCGATGCATCGTGGCACACTGAGACATGTGCGAGCTCTGGCCAACGGGCTGATCCGATCCATGCACCACCTCGCGCGGGGCACGGTCGGAGCGGCCGAGGGCGCTGGGCCGTCGGCTGCGTGGGAGCGGGCAACACCGCTCCAGAGGGCTACTTCGAGGAGGTTACTGGAGGCGTGGCTTGCTTGGGGCAGCCAGGTGGCCGCGATCAAGGAAGACGAGGACGCCGCCCTTCGGCGCGTCATGGCCGGTCGGGCCTCGCCATACTCAGGCGATGGGGCTACGGTTGCCCTGGGGAAGGATTCAAAGGGAAGGGAAATGCTACCAAAGGGCGCGATGTGCTCCGTCGACGTGGAGGAACTGGCTCTTCCGCCGCCAGGGACCATCCCTGCCAAGCTCGTGGACATCTGCCCGCTGGCTGCCGAGTACTTCTCCGACGTTGCGGGGGGGATGCTACGCGAGCCCAGCAAGGCCATGGACGAGGAGCTGAAAGGCCAGAAGGTCTACCGAGATCCGTCTCTCCGCTCGAGGGCGTCGCGTCTCCGCCTAGCCGAGAGGCTTTGGGGTGCGGGGATGCTCGGGACCACCGGCGAGATGGTCGATGGGGGTCTCGCTCTTCGGAGTCATCAAGAAGTACCTGCAGGAGGAGGGGGACCCCTCAGCCCCGCCAGGCGCCAGGTGCGCGCCATCTGGGACCAGAGGCGGGCCAACCTCCGCTGGCAGAGGCCCCCGTGCGTGCCCCTCGGCAGCCCCGCGACCTTCGCTCACGTGGACCTCTCCAACCTGGGCGAGAGGGACGTGGTCTACACTGGCGTGGGCGACATCCCAGACATGTTCTATTGTTTGGAGACGCCGCCCGATGTCTGGCCCTACTTTGTCTTGGAGGAGGTGCCAGTCCACGAGTTCGTCGAGTACATGAGGACCAAAGGGCAGGACTGCGTCACCCTCGATGGCGGGCCCTTCCTGGCGCTGAAGGCCCTGGTCATGGGCTGGTCGTGGGCCCCGTTCTTGGCCCACTCTACGTTGCAGGCCTGCATGGCGCGCGGGCTCGGGGAGGACTCCGTCGGGGCTCGCCTGGTCTACGGGGCTCCGACGCCTCAACTGACCGGGCCCGAGGGGTTCGAGTCGGTGAACTGGGCATACATGGACGACTACGGAGTCATGGCCACGTCCGCCAGCGCGCAGCAGCCAGTGAGCGAGGTCGTGAGCGGACTGACGGCCCGAGTCACGCACTACTTGAGGCAGGTCGGGCTCCCCGTCCACAAGGAGTCCGAGGGCGAGGGGCTCGAGTCGCTGGGGGCGGTCATCCGAGGCCGACCCTACTCCGTCTCAGCAGAGACCGACCGCACCTGCGGCCTGGCTCTGGTGACGCTGCGGCTGGTAGAGCGGACGTACTGGACCGCGGAGCTCCTCGAGCGTGTCGTGGGGTTGTGGGCGTGGGCAGCCATCTTCCAGCGCACGCGCCTTGCCATCTTCGACCAGGTGTACCACGAGATGGGACGCCCCGAGACCGCCAAGACGCCGTTCCGACTGACGGACGCGGCGAGGTGGGAGCTGACTACGATGGCGTACTGCGCACCCCTCTTACGCACAGATCTCGAAGCTCCGTGGCTCTCGCAGGTGTTCATGACGGACTCCAGCGACACGGGCTACGGAGTGGCGGTCACCGACGCCTCGCTGGAGGAGATCAGGAAGGACGCCCGTTACAGCGAGATGAGGGGATGGACGATCGCCACCGAGGATATCTTCACAGCCCAGGGGGAGGACGCCTGGGTCCCCCATGCTGGGGGATGTGCCTACGATGTCGACGAGCTTATCGAGGCCTCGACTGCACCGCCGCCGCGGGTAAGTCGGAGGGTCTACCGGGTGCTGTACCTCTTCGCGGGCAGGCGCCGGGAGGGGGATCTAGAGGAGGCAATGCACTCGCGTGCGGAGCTCGACGGCTACGAGGTCGAGGTCTGGTCCATCGACGCGGTGATCAGACCGAAGCACGACCTCACCAACGACGAGCTCGTCAGCCTGATCCTGAGCCTGGCGCGCGACGGGTACTTCCACGCAGTGATCGCCTCGCCCCCATGCTCCACTTGGAGTCGGGCTCGCTTCCTGGGGAAGGGGCCCAGGCCCTTGCGGACACGCCTCGAGCCTTGGGGGCGGAGCGACATGTCATTCACAGCCTTCGAGCGCCTCCGCCTGGACCTGGGGTCGCGCCTTTTGCTGTCGGCCACGCAGGCGGTCCGCGAGGTATGTCGAGCTGGAGGCCTGGGCTTGATGGAGCACCCTGCGGACCCAGAGGAGGACCCCTACCCGTCAATCTGGAACCTACCCGAGATGGCATGCCTCCTCGAGGAGACGGGCGGGAAGATCAATCGGATCGACCAGTGCCGCTACGGAGCCCCATCGATGAAGCCGACCATGATTGGCATTTTCGGGTTCTACGACGACACTGGACTTCGCCGCGGACCGTCTCCGCTTGAGGTGCAACCACCGAGGGAGGCATCAGACAGCACTCAAGGGACGGGCGGAACGAGGCCGTCCCGATTTCTGCACCGCCTCCGCCCAGGCGTACCAGCCGCCGCTGTGCGCCGCGCTGGCGGAGGTGATCATCGAGGCTTTCGCCCGCGTGACGAGGGAGATGAGTGGCCCCGATCCAACGGGCTCGCGCGTGTCTCCATCTACTTCGCCCTTCGGCCCGCCGGGGCCGGGGAGGGCGAGGATCGAGGTGAGGCGGGGCGATCGAGTCAGAGTCCCCCCGCTGTCCCCCGCTTGGATGCCGATCGCGAGATGGCGGCCGCTCTACTTCGGGAGGTGGAGGATCACGGAGCACACGAACATCAACGAGACGCGGGCCGTGGTGGGCCTGCTGCGACACCTGGCCAGATCATCACGGATGTGGAGGCGGAAGGTCCTGATCCTTACAGACAGTATGGTAGCTCTGGGGGCCCTGGGCAAGGGCCGCTCGAGCTCACCAGCCCTGCTGCGCTTGTGCCGCCAGGCGGCGGCGATCGCCATGAGCTTCGCGATTCAAGGGTACTACCGCTACGTCCCGTCGGAGCTGAACGTCGCCGACGGCCTCTCTCGGGGGGGCTTCCTCGGCGCGGCGCCCGAAACGGTAGCAGCTCACAGCGACCGACACCCCGCTCCAACGGACAGCCGAGGTCACGATATACGCGACCTGGGCCGCGCCTGTACGGGATACGCTGGTGGATAGCCGCCATGGCATTGGAGGCAGTCCACCCTGCTGGCGCGGTTCGCCCGAAGCCACCCAGGGCGGGGGGCATCCCCCTGCAGAAGCGAGGGCCACGTGCGTGGGAGAACTACGAGAAGGAGCCGCACCTGGGCATCAGCGAGGGCGGCTTCACAAGGCTGCTCACCCACTCCGTGGCGGACGTCACCGCGGCGCAGTGGGCCCCGAAGGTTCGAGACTTTCTCAGCCACTGTGTCGACAAGGGTTGGGAGCTGCGGTCCGCGAACGCCGCGGACCACGCCCTGGCCGACTACATGGACATGAAGTGCTACAAGGACCGGCTCCGTACTACATGGGGGTCGATTGTCTTGTTTGGGTTGCTGGTGATTTGGCCTGAGCTGAGGAACCAGCTTCCCCTGGCCTTGCGAAGCCTGAAGAGCTGACAGAGGCCGGTTATCTCTGTGGAAGGGGGTCCTCTGCCTGAGGAAGCCGTCTTCGCCATCGCCATCTACTTCTTCGAGGCGGGGCTCCTGGATGAAGCCATCTGGACCCTGGTGCAGCACGACGTCTACGGGCGGGAGCAGGACATGGAGATGCTACGCGAGGCCGATATCATCTGGGATGGCAGATGCGCGGGCCTCCTGTTTGGCATCTCGGCCCGAGGCGAGGAGGGCAAGACGGGCAGCAACCGAGGGGTCGTCATCCGCCGCGGCACGGTCGCGAGCCTCATCCTGGCCCTGAAGGACGTCAAGAAGAATGTCGCGGGGCCCATCTTCGGCCCCAAACAGGCAGGCTTCCGCAAAGAGTGGCACCGCGCATGTCG